GCCACTCCTCCCCCTCCCAAAGGAACGATTGGAAACCGGGGGCACACACAGAAGTGCCCAAGGGCGAGCGCGCGCGCACTGGCACCCGGCACCAGTGGCTGCGGCGTGTGCCCTGAGCGGGTGAATGTGAGTGCGTGTTTACAGAGTGCAACGCAGGCGGCGGGCAGGACGGTGTGGGTGATGGTGTGGGTTCCCTCTGTGTTTGTTTGGAGTTTCTGTGTGTGTGCATATGTGGTTTCGTGTATCCACGAGTGCCCAACTGCCTGTGTGTCCCATGTGAGAGGGACTGGTAGAGGAGAAGCCCATATCTCCCCACTGGGGTACCGGGACAAGGGTTGAGCAAGTAACCTACCATCAGAATCCAGAAAGACCAGACCCCAACCGTGCTTCTGTCTTTGAAGGGAAAAGTTCAAGGTCCACTCTGAGCTGTGAACAAGGTCCACACCTCCACTGGCCTCCCTCAGCTTGGTCTCCCTGACCTGTCTCTCCATTGCTGTGGCCTGCCCCTAAGGTGTCTCTAGCCATCCTGCCTGACAGGTGGATATTTCTCCAAGTTTAAAGCTCTTCAGAGTAGGCAGACCCACATCTTGCCTGACTACATAATAACTGCACACTGCCGGGGAAATCACTCCTGAGAGCTTGCCTCAACCCAGGCTGCAGCGTTCCAGCTCATTTCCTCTTATTCTGTCTTCAGAAAGAAATCTAAGGGCTAAAGGCCCAGCACAAATCAGACTAGCTGCTTAACAAGTTTTTGTGGAATCAGGGAATGGAATTTGAACTCAAGACCCTGTGACTGGGCTAAACCTCTTCCATCCAACTGAGTACTACCTGGGATTCCTGCAGAAACCACCTCTCTTTCTTAGTATTGTTCTCCCCTAATGACCATCTGCATGGACACTCAATGTAAACAGAAAGTGGAGACTATTCACTACCTGCTGAATTCAAAATAGGTCCCTGTTCCAGAAGGATCTCTCAATATTTCTTGTTAAGATGTGGCCCCTAATCCAGGATCCCAGAATGTGAATTTTAATTGCAAGAACTCTGGAGGTTGGAAGGAGAGGTAATCAGGAAAAAAGTATTTATTCTAAATATCAGGTGGAGATTCCCTCCCCCTTTCTCAGGCAAAGGAAAAGAAAAGAGCAAAGGTGAAGTGGTAGCTGAAGACAAAGATGGACTGTCCCAGCTGAGACTCTCAACATAAAAGAATTGCCAACTTAGGTCAGGGCTTCAGATCTGGCAGAAGCAGCTCCCAGGAAGTACAGAGGCAGAGGGAGAAGGAAAAGTCAGAGATGGAGAAAAGTGTAGAAAGAATCCTGGGATTTCCCCTCTGTCCATTAACTTCAGCACATATCCCACGTCTCTCCTGCCAGAGTTAACAGTTGCAGCCAAGAAACAGCTACATCTAAGACCCTAGTCACTCACTCCTCCACAATCCAGTTTTCAAAATTTCAGAGCAATCTCCTTTGTAAAATCAATTGAAAGAGGAATGGGCTAGAAAATTTTTAAAAAGACTGTAAATTGGGATTAGAGCTAAAGAGTTCTAATTAGGAAATTAGGATTGGAACTAAGGAGTTTCCTATTTAGGTAGGTATTTAACATGGTTAAAGGCAGAAAACATACTTCTAGAGAGATCCCTCAACATTCCTTATCAACACAGTGGCACTTCTGGTTCTCCCAGGACCCCCAACTCCTAACCAATTTTAAGAAACAGGTCATTTGTAAAGAAACTTTGGAGTCAGTCCATCTCATTTCTTTCACTTAATAAATGGAAAACTGAGATCAGAAAAATTGTATAGTCCCACAGAGTCAGTGACAAAGCCAAAGCCAGGTCTTTTATGCTTCTTCTAATGCCTTTTCCCACACTGTGGCCTTTCACTTTTAGTCATCAGTCCTGGTGTTTAGCCTCAACCCCATTACTCTTGTGGCAATCCAATCCCACTTCTGCTTTATCGAACCTCTAAAGAGAGAATAGTGTATACTTGTTCCATTCATAGACTCAAAAGACAACTCCTCTCCCTGCCTTTTTCTCTTGGCCCCTACCCCCACCTTTCCCAGGTTCCTTCTACCCAACCTCAGTCCTCTCCTTTTCAGCTTCTGAACTGCCCCTACCCTTTTGGAAACCCTGCCTCCTCGCTTCCCAAACCCCATAGTCCCTTCCAACAAGCTCAGAGTTTGATAGAGACCAAAAATGATGCTTTGGCAGCAGGTGACGGATGGATGTGATCTGCCTCCTACAGGAATGCTATTTAAAGGGGCAGCCCCACAAGCCTTTCTTTCCAAAGTGACAAGAGAAAAGCCTGCTCCTCAATCTCTCCAGTGCTGCAAACTCAGCTCAAGTTAACTTCTGACTTCCTCAACCTGCAACCTGGCCTGCTGCTCCTGCTTCCTATTCAGGTGGGAGGGAGAGTACTTGACAACTCACTGAGGTGTGGGGGCTGAGGGGGGACTCATCTTCATCTCCTTTGATGACAGGTACTTGGGGAAAGCAGGAGGCCCTGTGGGGAGGAGGATTGAAGAATGTTCTTCCCCCAACAACGTGAGTACATTTCAACCATGTGCCAGCTTCTTCTCAAAGTCAAACTTTGTTGCAGAAGAACTCATGCAGGCATGAGGATCTTAAGCAAAGGAAGCCTTGTCCCTACCTGGGACCTTCCTCTCTCCTGGGTCCTGGTGCTCAAAATACAGTTGTTCCCTTCCTGCAGAACAAAGTGCCAAAGGGCAAGACGCCTTGCATCTTCTGTCCCTTGAGTTTGCCCTCCCAGCCTGCCCACAGGATTAAATCCAGAGAGGAAGAGGCAGTGTCTCTGTTGCCCAAAGGGAAGAGAGCGGCTTGGCAAGCCTCTCCGCCAAGGCCTGCTGGAGGAGTAATTCCATCTCACTGCTGCAAACAAGTTAATGGGGACTTTAATGAAAACGCGCACTAATGAAAATGCTGAGGCTAGAACCTACGCTCTGCCTGCAAAACAAAACAATTGGGGTCAGAGCTTCTCCTGATCATCATTTCTCACTTCTTCTGTGGCCTAAGTAAGCAAGCTAGGGTTCTGAGAGCAAAAAAGCAATTCAGAGTTGATTGTGTCTAGGTTGTAAGAAGTCAGACACCATCCTGGTCAAGGAAGAAGACTTTCTGAAATGCTGATGGGTCCCGTTATCCCTAGCTGTCCCTTCACTCTGGACAGTCACTTTTTTGGGAGGGGGAAGTACTGGGGATTGAACTCAGGGGCACTCTCCTACTGAGCCACATCCCCAGCCCTATTTGTATTTTATTTAGAGATAGGGTCTCACTGAGTTGCTTAGCACCTAGCTTTTGCTGAGGCTGGCTTTGAACTTGTGAATCCTCCTGCCTCAGCCTCTTAAGCCACTGGGATTATAGGCATGTGCCACTGTGTCCAGCTCAGACAGTCACTTTTTGTTTCAGGTGATAAGGTCATCAGTGTCCTTCTCTTATTTTCTCCTGTTTTCTAGGGTCTCTGGTTTCTAAGTCTTGCCATATAAAGAGGTGGTCTGGTCAGGTAACGAGGTCTAGAAATGAACATGAGATTTAGGTCCCAGTTCTGCTTCCACTAATACTAGACAGATGACCTTTAATAAGTCACTTACCACTGCTGAGTCTATTTCCTGTACTGAAATAAGGAAGCCTTCCTCGGCTACCCTGCAGAATCGCTATAAGAATGCAAAAGCACTTTGAAAAAGTACAGGTGGTAGATAAATGCGTATAATTATACGTTTACAAAAAGATATTATGTCAAACCACAATATTTCAGAAATGAAGAACAAATCTGTGTCGGAAGGAGGTGCGGGAGAGAAGTGAACATGTTATAAAAGAGGAACGTGAGGGATCCTGGGTGAAGGAACTGCTCAGTCTTCTGACTGAGCTGGCAGATACAGGGACTTGCCTAGAATTGAATACACACAGAGAGAGAAATGAGTATAAGTAAAACTGGGACATCTGAATAAGATCAGTGGATTAGATCAATGTCAATATCCTGGTTGTGATGATGTACTATAGTTTTATGAGATGTTGCCATTGAGGGAAACAGTGCAAAGGTACATGGATCATTCTGAATGACTTCTTTCAAGTGTATATGGATTAACTATCTCAATAAATTTTTCAACTAAAAAGAGAGAGATCATGACTACCCTCCATCCTCTTGTAACAATTTATCTCGCTATCTTTTAGGAGGGACTTTATAAGCAGTTCTCCATGCAGATGGAGAAAGGGTCTCCATCTTCTCAAGTAGAAGAATGGAGCAGAGATATGAGGGTGCGGGTCGTTGATCAGATCTGAGTCTTCTCTTCCTCCTCAGCTGTGTTCGCTGTCTCAGTAAGCCTGACACTGAATTACTCCTACGACACAATGTCCTTCCTGTAGCAAGGAAGGACGATTAGCTGATGCATGAAGCAGGATTCCGTTGCTTCTCTCCTAAAGAACAGACAGTCGTTGCTAAGAAAAATTTGTGTGTTGATTTCAGGTGTCAAGAAAGTATTAACGAAGCATGGATCTGGAGAAAAAAAAGCAAACACACATTCAAAATCCAACAACAGATATCAAATAGGTTTAATGAAGGCCGGATGGTTTTGCCGAAAGCCAACAATTGCTTCCCTTTCATTGTGGAAGTATGGACATGACCCTAATTAATCGACGAGCTAATTATATTTGCCCACTCCAACTGCTCTGGACCTCTGACATACATGATCTGTTGCTCTCATCCTCCCTGGCAGTGGGTGCTCAGCAGTGATGGATGGGCCACTG